AAAAGGGGTTTAGTTTACTTTTGAAATAACCACATCTGCCAAACAAGATCTTAGAATTGGTGCAATCTATATCTCTCCAAAACGAAACTTGAAATCACAACTCTCCACCACATGGGAAAAATATTTATAGTGGGAGGGGCCAAGAATGCTAAACACACTGACTGGGGAGCAAGAATGTTCACTACTAAAGAAAGTGAATTTGAAAAAAAAAAACAATCGGAGAAACCGGAAATAATGTTTATTCAACAGAAATGCCAACTTGTCATAGATACGGTCAGCGATAAAAGAACAGACTTACTGAATTTCTTCTCGAGAAAAATTCACCAAATTTCATAAATAAAGAAGAAAATTTTGATTTAAACTCTGATCAATCTGTAGTTATCTTAACACCGAGTAAAGGAATAATTAAATATTAAAATAGGCTCTTTTAAATAAAACTACATTCTGGTAAAGCTTCATAATATATTTTGAGAATGAAATCAGTTTGATATCAATCCAAAACGACAGAGCAATTAGCTATAGACGCACAGAGATTTACCAACCTGTTACAAACTATTGTATTCATCAACATCAAATAGATAAAACATCTCAAAATAGATCAATTATCCATCTGGAACAAGAAATTGGGTCAGAGCAAAAAGGGCAGCGTGACGGAAGTGGCAACAAACACGATACCCAGCAGATAAGATTGTTCTAAGCAACACGTCGCACGAACTAAAAAGAGAAATACGAAGTTAAATGGCAAAATCACTTGAGACATTCTTTACAAACTTAACGGGTAAGGCAGAGATTAGTTACTCACTGTAAAAGCCACAAAACGAATAAAAAGACGATCATATCACTTCCTGCACTAAGAACAGGCCGAGGAATCTGGGCAAGAGTGAAGAAATATAAAGAAGAGCTCTCTCCGGACTACTAATCTTTTTAGCAAACGATGTACAGAATAATAACACCCTTGAAGAAGTCAATAATATTTCAACAAAAAATGATTCCTATTACTCGAAAAGAAGTTACAGAAGAGGTAATGTTGAACGTGAACTACAAGAAGTTATTGGGATTTGATTTGATTGGTGGGCAGGTATTGAAGCAACTACTTCAAAAAAGGATTATCATGGTGACATATATTTCCAATGCAGATATGAAATTGAAAAAATTTCCTGCTAGCTGGAAAGTTGCATAAATTGTTACTATTCACAAACAAGTCAATCCACCTCATGTAGGGGACTCGTAGAGACCGATCTCATCGCCAGAAATTCCAAAAGTACTTGAAAAACTTCTTAACAGATTAAAACCAATTATGTTAAATGCCAACATGATTCCTGACCCCCAGTTTGGTTTTAGACAAAAACATTAGACTAAAGACCAAGTACACAGAATTTCAAATGCAATGGAAATATCAAAAGAAGAGATACAAGTGTGTTTTTTGGTGCAACTGTGTGTCGCAAATGCTTTCGAGACAATATGACAAGAGGGATTGCTGTACAAATTAAATAAAATGGTACCAAAAGAATACTGAGAGAATGATTAGCAGAAAGCAAGAAGAAGCCTATTCAGACCTCAAAGACATTCAAGCGGGCGTCCCACAGGACACTGTACTTGGGCTTGTATTGTACGTATTGTATACCAACAAAATCCCAAATACAGAGAAAGGGCAATTAGCTACTTTCGCTGACGGGACAGCCTTGATTACCACAGAACGTGACGAGACGTTCTCTATTCGACTACTACAAGAACCCCTACGATTGGACCCAAAAATGAAAAAGTAAACGAAGAAAAATCAGAACATATCAAATATACCACATAGAACCATATGAAAAACTGAATAATCCACAACTTGGTCGTAAATAGAAAGATAGTTCTTTATGAAAACAAAGCCAAATGGGTACGTTGCCACGTGGGTATAATGCTGGATGCGAAACTGAAATGGAAGGAACACGTAAATGGAAGAAAACATCAAATTCCGACAGTATAAATGCTTAGAAGAATACATTTCAGTCTAACTTTACGCAACAAAATTCTAATCTGTAATGACGTCCTTAAACCCATCTGGCTGTAAGATGTACAACTCTGAGGATGTACGAAAAACCGCAATTTCAAAATAATTCAAACATTTCAATACAAGGTATTGCGCGAAATGGCGAATGCGCCTAGGAATGTCAGAAACGTTAATTTCCGTAGAGGATGTCAACTGATGTTACTGCAGTGCCTCTGACCGGGACGACATAGGGTTCGGATCCCGACGGTGGCAGGATTTTCGACACTACCTTGTCAGCTAGGTTGAATTCAGCGGCAGTCAGTAGGAGAATTCTAGCGTCTGGCTGCTCTGATGTGCTGCTCTGCTGGTTGGTCTGGCTGGCTGATCTGAGTTTTCCGTAGTTTATCCGATCAACACCAGGCGAATGCCGGAGCAATGCCCTAGCAAATGGGTCACGCATCACGCACTATCTTTCCTTCTTCTTCCTTTTCCTTTCCTTCCCCTTACTTACACACACTTACTCTCACATACACTACATCACCGCACGTGACGAGAGACCAGTCAGGGGCTTAGAGCTTGTCCCAGCTGGGGCGGTGCCACACAGGTGAAAGATACCTGGATGTGGCAAATCCCCGAAAGCCGACGTAGATCTCATCAGCCAGCAGGGAAGATCAGCGCCATCTCCCGCGATAAGAGCATGCACTTCACTGACGTGACTAATGACCTGAGCAGTTGTCGCGACCGGAATCACTAACCAATCAACCATGGCCTCCCCGCATCAGACTTAGCATCGCAACCTTTTCTGTGCCTCAGAGACTACGCTACCAAACTGAAAGGCCTTGCTGAGCGTTTCTTTGCGGTAGTGGCAGAATGTTAAAAGGGTCGGTGTAGTCATTAAACTCTTTATTTCTCAAAAATATTTTGTAATATTGAACAATATGTAGTATCATTTCTTCACACTCGTTATCATGGGCTAAAGAAATCTAAAGTGTTTAAAAAATTGAAGTTGTGATGATACATCTTATATAACTTTCGTTTTATTTAAAACTACACATCTTAGTTACTGCAACAGTACAGTTGATATTCGAAGATAACATCTTAAGCGAGCTATCTTGGATACATCATGTTTACGAAACTGGTAAACTTCTTTCAATCTTCATATATGATTTCACTGAAAACAATGTCTGATCGATATTGTCTTTGTTGCAGCGCCAATAAGTTTTTGTAACCAAGTTCTAAGTTTCGCAATGCTTCTGAGAGTGTCCTCAAAATGTGTTTATTGTATAATGTCTAAGCAAGATCTTTCGGGAAGTTCACGCCTTCATAAGCCACTCCACAAATTATTTTTATTTTCTGGATCACATTTATTAAATTTTATGGTGTACCATGTTATTCAAACGGCAATAACCTACATGGTGCTAAGTTAACAATTCGAATCAGGTCAGGTACGTCCTAACTATGAGAGCGTGATGTGGAAACGAAATAAAGTGATTGAAATTATTACATGTTATTTTGCCCTAAAATGCTATAAATCCGTTAACTTCCTTGCTGCGCTCCTACAGTCCCGTTAATAGCGATAGTAGAACACCATATTTCGTTACATTTTGAGTCACTGATTAGTAATAAAACATCCACTCACAGCTTCAATCAGTCGCAGAACTAGTATAGAGTATTCTTCAAGTTAGCTCAAGTATTATTACTTCAAGCATTAAATACGTTGATATTCACATACGTTGACTTCAATTAATTCAAACATTAAATACGTTGTTATTTAATTATACTTGATTTCCATGTAATTTGATAGAAGCTCTAGGTTTTTCATTTAAAGATTTTCAACGTGCAAACGATATTTTAAATCTTAATAATAAAATAAGTGACGAGTTGGTCGAAAAGAAAATTGTGTACAAGAAATTGAAGGTCGACTTGCCTGCGCATGCTATTTATTAATTTACCGTACGTATATTCTACCCGCATTTATTACATAGACACAAAAAGCACGGAATGAAATTCTATTCACCTTCAGCTCAAAAGTGCTCGAACTGTCATTCAAACTGCCTCCCTTTTCTGTAGTCGTAAGAGTAACTATACTGGTACATTTTTGTTTCATTTTCATTTCATTTTCCGAGATGTGAAGCTTAAACTAATATTTTTATAATAAGAGTTCATTAACAAAAAGCATTCCATTTCAAATGCATACATGACTAATGTGTTTCATACAGATATAATTTACAGCATTAAATCAGTCTTTTAGTTAAATCTTTGCAAAAGAAAATTAACATCCAAAACTTTTGCTTATATTATCAAGGATAAAGCCAGAAGTTCCTCATACTTAGAATTTCAAGTAAGAGTTAAAGATAAATCAAACAAGTTATCAAATCAAGTGAGTGTTTCAATAAAGTGGAAGAAAAGGCAAACGTTCGTCTATATAAAGAGGCATGCATTTAAAGCGACACCGGTTGCAACAGCTGAGCGGCAACAGAAATGCGTATGCATCAAAGCATTATGGTCACATCTGGAATTAATAAATGTACGAAAGAATTTTCTTCATGGAATAGTGATTATGAAAATACGATATGAATGATGAGAGGCAGGGGAAACGGGAGAAATTCTACAACAAATCTAACCTGATTTCAACTTATGTATTACATTTAATGTTCAAATATATTAAGATCTTTTTAATGTTGAAGGTTACATTAAGTTTCATGTTCAGTACATTAATATACATTTCTGACAGCAGGCGCGGATCCACGGAAGGAGGGGGTGAGAGAAATCCCCCACCCTCACTAAAATGTTTCTGTGACTATTAATTTTAACTTGTCATGTAACTTTCAATCAAACATATTTTCGGAAAATCATGAAAACAGATAAAATGGTATCGCATCAGGAGCTGAGTGTAGCATGCGCGATTTTAGAAAATCGGTTCAACATATTCATTGTAATGACGCATTCAATCCAAATAGTTCCCCTCCCAAAACGTGCCTCTGGATCCGCCCCTGCTGACAGTGTATAGCCAAGGTATACTCACACGTGCCCTGCGCGCGCGCCAGCCCGACGCCCCGCCCCAGCGCCAGCGC